TCTGTACAGTATTTTTGCAATAAAAATAAATAAAATTAAAAAAATAAAGAAATATTTAGTTCACATTTTTATATTAGCAATTTTAATTTTACTCATGTGTTTCTTTTCTTAAGTCTAAAGGAACATTAATCTTTTTGAAGGGTATTACTATGTAATTTTTCAAAACCATAATTCATCTTATTTATTTATCTCTTAATTAGATTACAAAAAATAAAAGCAAACAGGTGATTTCCTTATATGATACAATAATACAAAGTATACTTATTTCAAATCTCCTCTATAAGTGGTATAACCAAACAAGTTTAATGTGTTTAAGTCCTTTGTCCTTAGAATGCTGTATTTGGCCTTGAATTATGGACATTTTCCCAGTATTATCACAGAAATACAACCTTTTCAAGTTCAAAGAAAATCTGTTTTATTTTATTTTAGTTCCTCCCAGTCGTAGTTGTTCCTTCCATTGTTTGTTGTTCATGCTTTATTACAATACCTAATAATCGTGTGTACAATAATTTAACAGAACTATGAAACTTACCAGTTTGCTTCAGAACTAAGGCTCTTATGCAGTCCTGGATGCTTAAAATTTATCACTCAGTGATATAATTTTATGCTCTGTTTCAAAAGATGACAGTATTTAAATGGATCTTTTGATAAAGGAGAAAAGTAATTAGATTGCTATTGATTCATCAGAGCCTGGTAGCAAAAAATCAATAGGGAAAAGCTGGGATGGTGGCTTAGTGGTAGAATGCTTGCCTTGCATGCATGAGACCTTGAGTTCGATTCCTCAGCAGCACGTAAGCAGGAAAAGCTAGATGTGTCTCTGTGGCTCAAGTGGTAGAGTGCTAATCTTGAGCTGAAGAGCTGAGGGACAGCGCCCAGGCCCAGATTGTAGACCTCATGATCGGAAAAAAAAAATCCATAGGGAATGCAAAAATATCCTCCTGCCATTGCAGAAAATGAGATGTTAGTATTTTCACTTATTATATTGGTGGAATATTAAAAACAAAACTATTATTCTTGTTTCATGCAAAATACAGATTTTGTTATTATTCTCATAATTTTGCTGTAGTCATTTTACATAAAATATTGGTTATATACAAATATAAATGCTACTTTGGTAAAATGTTACTAATGATTTTTTTCCACTACTTTTTTTAAGTTTAGTTTTTTGAATATATATATATTATTGTAAAGATACTGTACAGAGGGGTTACAGTTACATGAGCAAGGTAATGAGTCCATTTCCTATTGAGCATTGCTACACCCTTCTTAGTTTTTCCCCCTATCATCCATTGGATTTTGTCACAGACTTTTTCTGCATTTATTACAATGATCATGTGATTCTTGTCTTTGGTTCTGTTAATATTCTGCATTATGTTTATTGGTTTACATTTATTGAACTAGACTTGCATTCTTGGGATACAATGAATTTGTGTAACTTTTTCATTATTGAATTTGGTTAACACATATTTTATTAAGGAGTATTGTATATATGTTCATAAAAAAGATTGGTCTATAGTTATCTTTCTTTCTTGAGATTCTAGTTTAGATTTGTGTATGATCCAAGAATAATAAAATTAGTTAGGTAATGATCTCTCCCTTTCCACTTATTAAAAATTTGAACAGTACATACAATTCTTCTTCTTTATAAGTCCTAGAGAATTCAATTTTGAATCCATCAGTTCCTGAAATTTTTTTGGGGGGGAAATATCTATTGCCATTTCAATTTCATTATGTTTAAAATTTTTATTTTATTTTAAAGATGCTGTACAGAGTAGTTATGGTTACATGAGTAAGGTAATAAGTAGATTTCTTGTCGAGCATTTTTACCCCCTCCTTTATTCTTCTCTTACTACTCCTTTCCTCCCCCACTTTCAGTACTTATTATAGATCTGTTTAGTTTATATCCTGTTGGCTCAATTTTTGATATACTGAAATGTATCCATTTCTACAAGGTTTTCCAAAGTGGTTTGAGAAGTATACCCCTATATTACTGGATTTTACCTGAATTTGTTATAATAACCATTTCTTAATTTTATTTGTGTGATTTCTTTTTTTAAAAATTCAAATTGGCTAAGTGTTTAACAATGGTGTTTATCTTTTTTAAGAATCAAGTTTTATTTTTTATTGATTCTTTTTATCATCGTTTAAGTCTCTAGTTCATTGATTTCTATTGTAATCATTAATATTTCTTCCACTCTTGGTTTGGGGATCCTTTTATTGGTGTTATGCAATGGTTCTTTTCTGGTCTAGGCTGTTTTAGAAGACCTAAAAGCCCCTTGGATAGGTTTCTCTTTTCAAAATTTGGAAAGTATTCTGCTATTCCTCTTTAAATAGGTCCTCAGTTACCTTCTACTATCCATCTTCAATACATATAATACATACATTTTTAATTAAGTGCTCCAGGTTTTGAAAGCTTCTATTATAATTCTTAGATCTTTTGTTATGTTTATTCTTGCCTCTGTACAATATCTAATTTGTTTTCAAGCCCAGTTCTGTTTTATATACCTGCTGGAGAGGTTTTCCACTTTATTTAACATATTTTTTATTGTCTCCTTTAGTTTAATAACTTTTCAGGATTTTTTATCTCTTTATTGAGACCTTTCTTCATGTCCTGGTTTGATGCTTTCATTAATTTGTTTACATATGCCTTTAAAAATGTTTACTTCTAAGTCATTGTACAAAGGAGATGCCATTCAACAAAGTAGTATATAAATACATGAATATTGATCAATGTCATACTTTCATTATTCTCCCACATTCCTCTCAACCCCAAACCTTTTTCCAATTTTCTTAATTTTATAGAATATGCATTAAATTTTATCTATGCCTTTTTCATCTCATTTAGCAGATAGTTATAATTTCATTAAACTCATTAACTCCTATATTCACTTGGATTTTTACTTAGCTTTTTAATTTGTGTTTTCATTAAAATCCATTCATTGTTTCCATATTCTTTGTGCTTGTTTGTAGAGATCTTCTTTTATTGATTTTTTTCCTGTTTAGGGGCTTGAACTCTGGACCTGGGCATCATCCCTGATCTTCCTTTGTTCAAGGCAACACTCTAATCACTTGAGCCACAGTTCGATTCCAGGCTTTTCTTTGGTAGTTTATTAGAAAAAACAGTCTCAGAAGTTTTCTTATACATGATGATTTTGAACCACTATCTTCAGATCTCAGCCTCCTGACTAGCTAGGGTTACAGTCGTGAGCCACCCAGTGTCTGGCTTATGAAAGATTTTTATCAATAGTCCTTTTATCAAAATTAAACTTACTGCAGAGTGACAAGTATTTATATTAGTAGTAAATGTTTATAGTTTTGTTTATTTCTAAATGCTCCTTTATAATTTTGATGCATTATTTTGTTTTTCATTGCTGTTAGCAAAAATAATTCCCACTTTGATGATTAAATTATACAAAGAATGTGATTATCAATAAACTTACTTTAAAATAATTGCTTTAATAGCATCTAGAGATCAAGGTAAAGACATATATACATTTTTAGCGTGCTCTTTTCATTTACTAGGTTTTTGCCCACATTTTCCTTTTACTCTTTTTCTAAGTCTTTAATGCTCTTCAAGCCAAATCCACAGTGTTTTTAAAATCAAATTCAGAGTTCTCTAAGTCAGTGATATTCAGGAAGACTCATGGTTGGTGATTGTTCAGTACCCTCAAATTCAGAGTTCTCTAAGTCAGTGATATTCAGGAAGACTCATGGTTGGTGATTGTTCAGTACCCACACAGAATAGAATTCAGTTTTTTTAACTGTACCCCAGGAGTGATTTTCTATTAGAAATTTTTAGTTATAAACAATTTTATAAATTTCAAGTAATTTTTATCCAAAGGTTTTTAAGGGGTTTAGTGTGTTATACTGACAAACATAAAAATCTTGTGAAATATTTTATTATATACAGCATAATCCTACCCACCAGCAGAAGAATAATTTTCTTTATAAAGGCTAGGATTCCTATAATGTGGGATGTTTTATAATATGATAGTAATTTTACAATGTAGCAATAAAATCCATTATAAATGTTATTGTCTTAATTTACTTCCTTTCTTCTTCTATTTACTCATATTTATTTACTTATTTTATTTATTTATTTTGTTGTCGGTCATGGGGCTTGAATTCTGGGCCTGAGTGCTGTCCCTCAGCTCTTCAGTTCAAGGTGAGCGCTCTACCACTTGAGCTACCGTGCCACTTCCGGTTTTCTGGTGGTTTATTGGAGATAGGAGTCTCACAGTCTTTCCTGCCCGAGCTGGCTTTGAACGTGATCCTCACATCTCAGCCTCCTGAGTAGCTAGGATTACAGGCATGAGCCACCAGTGCCTGGTAATTTACTCATATTTATTATGTATTAGATTAATAGAAAGTCTTTGTAAGGGTAAAGTGACATGAAAATATTCCAAAAAATAAAAGCATGAACTTTGGGTTTTACTTTTATTTATTAATGTTTGAAAGTCAAAAGAGCATAGTTACATGCACAGATAGAGAATTTCAAAGAATACTCTGAAGTTCTGTTGACATTATCTTCCATTGTTTTTTTCCTGTGGAACTTTATGTTTACTTTACTTTTGAGTTTACTGACAAATTTTCCATCTCTGAGTCTGCAAATATCAATTTATTTTTCTTTTTTAAACACATAGCAATCATGACTTATTCATAGTTTGTAACTACATAATGGTATAGATTAATAGATAACATTTGCTACTCATACCAATTATCATCATTAAGAATATACATATATATTTTAAAATTATTTCCTCACCAATAAATATATATTACCTAAAGGCAAGTATAATCTGGCTTTATATGTCCATTTTGCTCCAGGCCTCACTATCATTGTTAAAGATATTTAAATACTTTTAATTGTAAATTCAAAATGATTTAGTGATAATTTTTCTACTTCGGTCATGATTCTAACATGAAAAGTAAAGCAAAACATTATACAATTGGCTCATTTTGTCTTACTCTGGAGATAAAATTGTCTTAATTATATAATGTTAAAACTGGATATGCTGCAAATGTAATTTTCTCATAGCCTCTTGCATTTTCTGATTTCTCAGTGTATAAATAACAGGATTCAGTAAAGGTGTGATGACAGTGTAAAAAACGGCCAGTGTTTTATTCCTTGCAAAACTACTGAATGGCCAGGCATAAATAAAGATACAGGGTCCAAAGAACAGAGTGACCACAATTATGTGGGCAGATAATGTGGATAGAGCCTTAGGGAGCCCTCCAGATGATTTTTGTTGTACAGTGACTAGGATAATAGTGTATGAGACAAGCAGAAGGATGAAGCAGATGAAAGAGAGAAGCCCACTGTCTGCAATGACAAATAACTCCAGGATATATGTTTCAACACAAGCAAGCTTGATCACCAGAGGAAGGTCACAAAATATGTTGTCTACAACATTGTAGCCACAAAAAGGCAAGTTCACTGTTAGTACCATCTGGCTCATAGTGTGTAAGAAACCAACTATCCATGAAAGTATCACAAACCTATTTAGCAACCTGGGATTCATGATTGTCCTATAGTGCAGAGGTTTACAAATGGCCACATACCTGTCAAAGGCCATGACTATCAAAAGAGACATTTCAGCACCCCCAAAGAAGTGCATAAAGAACATCTGGGTCATGCAGCCCCATACAGAAATCATCTTGTGTTCAGTAAGCAAGTTTGTGATCATTTTGGGTGTTGTGGCACTGGAGAGACACATGTCTAAAAAGGAGAGATTTCCAAGGAGGAAGTACATGGGTGAATGAAGGGAAGAACTAAATATCACTGTGATTATAATGAGAATGTTTCCTAGCACTGTAGCACTGTAGATCAAGGAAAATATCACAAAGCAGAAAATTTGCAGTTCCCATCCTCCAGAAAATCCTACTAAAATAAACTCAGTCACAGTGGATCCATTTTTGTTATCCATTTACTGAAATCAGAAAAATTCTGGGAGCTTGTTATATACAAACAGTCTTTAAAGTTCATACCAATACGTTCCTATTCTTATTAATTGGCCACACAAAAATTGATGATGAAATAACATGTCATTTTAAATTCATCAATAACATTGGAGATTATATTATGTGTCACATCACTGTAAAACAATATTCATATACCTACATAATAATTAAAAGCACTTGAACAGTGGAAGAACCATTTTACATCATTTTATTCCATTAAATGATATACTTGTCAATTCATCTTGATTTTTCACTGATTTGTTTACCTAAAAAAATAGATGACAGTTTACTATGATGTTTATTATTAATTTCACTTCTGTGCCTATCCCTCATGGAGGATGTATTATTTCAATAAAAATATGGAACTATAAAATAAATTATATTTTTCTTTTGTAATTTTAATTTTATTGTCAAGGTGATGTACAGAGGGCTTACAGTTATATAAGTAAGGTAGTGAGTACATTTTTTGTCTAACTTGTTACCCCACCTCATTTTTCTCTCTTTTCTTCCACATCCTAACTCCTCCCTAAGTTGTACAGATCATTTCCAATATATTTTTCTCTATTTTTCCAAGTAGTTTATAAAACCACTTGATAGTTCTAAAACAAATTAGAAGTTAAATTCTACATGAAAGAAAATGTTTTCATTCATTAACAGTCATTTTACTTTTAATTAATTTTTATAATATACTAAAAATTTCAGGGAACATGGAATTAGCCTCAGATCTTTTTGAGCTTGCTTTCTCAAGTCCATTGTGTTGCTATTGCTCATTGATATGCTTGTTTAGTGTGTGTATGTTGTTACATACAATTGCTTAGAAGTAAATATTGAAGTGATTCTGTGTTGCTATTGCTCATTGATGTGCTTGTTTAGTGTGTGTATGTTATTACATACAATTGCTTAGAAGTAAATATTGAGGTGATTCTGTTTTAAAATATAGATTTTTCTTATAGTGTATAACATTAAATCACTCTTACTGGACATTTTAGACATTGTTCATATGACCTTGAGCACAGAAACTCAGTCATTCTTGTAATTCAGGTTTATAATCCTAAAATCTTTCCACATAAATAGATTAGGAAAGAAAGAAACTGAGAATTGTTTTATTAAGTAGATGGACATTTCTGTCCTTGTTTATGTGTACTGGATAATATGCATATAAATGCATATAAATAAAAACAATTAAGAAAAATTGATTTAGGTGTATAGTTTTCCTCTTTTTAAATAGCTAATTGAAGAAAAAAATCATAATTTGAACCACCATTGACTTTGTTTTGCAAAAACTACACATTTTATGTTTAAAGGAAGATTAACTTCAGAAACATACTTACTTAAATAAGCCTAACACAAAAGATCACAGGTTGAGGAATTCCATTATATGAAACTTCAAGGAAAAGCAAATCTACAAGTCAGACACCAGAAACATCAGTGGTTCTGTTGTGGTTTTCTTTCTATGATAATAAAAATTATTGACATCAGATTGTAGTTATATTTGTACAACTATCACATAATAATCATTGAAATAAATAATTAAAATAAGCGAATCTTACAGTATATAACATATTCAATGTAAAAACGATTATCACATGTTTCGATTCCTTTTTAACTCAAAATTCCTTTTGATAAATTAATTTGTCTTTTACAGTATAGTTTTCTGGTACTAGTTAACTGCTTGATCTCAAAGTTTACTCTAAAACAATCAACTCTAATATTGAAAATCTGGTTTTAGAGTTGCTTGAATTCTCTATTTCTATTTTTACTTTTATAGTTTTGCTGTCTTATATATTGGGAGGTTTGCTTGCTATTCTGCTTTTCCTATTATGTCCAATACTCACTATGATATTCTTTATTTACATTTTCTTCATTCCTTTGAATATGTGTATTTTCTTTACTTTTATTTGAAAAACAGAGCTGTTACAGTTACATAATTCAGACAGAGTATGTTTCCTTTTGAACAATGCCATCTCTTCCTTTGCTTTCTCTATTTCTCCCCTCCCATCGTACCCACAAATTGTATAGCTCATTTTCAACATAATGTCCATTGCTGCATCTGTTTACCCCTTGTCCCTTTATTTCTGTACATCCCTTTATACTCCCAAACACATATGTACATGTAAACAAGACAAACAAAAAAAAGCAAAGTAAAAAGAAAAAAAACTTATTGTGCCCATTTACTGGAGTACATTTTGATAAATATTGTTTTGTATAATCAGATGCACATAGACATTGTGCCTTTCTGTTCCTCTCTTAAGAGGAATTTTTTTCTTCATTCCTATCAATACGTATATTTTCTAAACATTCCTCACTTTTTCTTCCTCCAAGATCTCATATGTGCTTATGGAATTATATATTTTATTCAGAGCTGCCTAAAATTCTGGTTTGGGTCATCAATTCTCTTCTTCCAACTCCTCCTTTGTCAGTATGTATTTATTTTGTCAAAACCTGAAACTTGATGCAAAGAAAATTATCCTTTATTAAAAACATATTAATGTCTAGCTTTTCTATTATTTTCAACTATGGTATAGGTATTTTGAATAATCAAGTTTGATCTTTTCTGATTTTCTTTATTATACTTAGTCACTGACAGTGATGCCAAATTTTACTCTGCCATGATTTTCAGAGAATTTTCCTTCCCAACTTTCACTGAAACTTTTAATTACAACGCATTATGAATGCTATTAATATAATCTCCCAGTGAGACTTTTGATTCTTCAAAAGTCAAAGTCTTTTCCTTTTAGCCAGCATACATTAATTTAAGTAATTTAAATGTATTAAATTTAAGTAATTTACATATGTGTATTAATATTTGAATAATAAAACACAATTTTATGATTAACATATAATAATAAAATCTTGTTTTTCTACTATATTTAAATATAAATTTTGGTCAGGTTGTGAGACAGAGTATAAAAAGCCTCATGTTATTTTTGTACACTAGCACATTTATAGGAGAAACTTACCGAGATATAAAAGTTCAGCAACAGTTCATAGAGAATTTCCAGAATTTAAATCTTAAAATAGCCAAATAAAAATGACCAGTAATGCTCATAAAATATTAACCAGATAATATTCCCATAACCCACCAATTATATAACTCAAACATAGAAATATTTATGTTCTAATAGAGAGAAATGTATTGTCTATATTATTAATTTTAACATAATTTTAGTTTATTATGACATTTTAATAAATGTGTGTGAACATATTGAGGCAATTCTAATAAAAATCTGATGAACAATAAGTTCATTAAACTATCAACAATATATACAAAGAAAAAAATATATGCAATGTAATAACCTAAGTTAGATTCTATTCCTATATAAATGTCCCCCATATATACATATATTCGTTTAGCTATCAAGGATTTCAAATTAGAAAATCACCTTATATATTGCAGTGCATGGATTTTTAAAATTAAGATATATTGTATTCCTAAATTGCTTTGTTAAGTATTAACTTGTACAACTCTGTAAAGATAATCATAAAATAAGAACCCGGAAATGAATATAATAATCAATAAACAATGGAATCTGTGATATAACTAGCTATATTGATACATCACTTATGATGTAAAATATAAATGCAGCAAGAATTGAAAAAAGGTTGAGAATAGATTCAGAAATCTAAGGATAGTCTGGGTTAGAAACTTATTCTATATTGTGTCAATTTTTCATCTGGAATTTTAGCCAGAATGGCATGAACATGCCTTCCAACCTATTTTCCTACCAGGCCCTCAAATGTGTAATAAGAGATTTGCTAGATAAATCTTTGAAAAGAAGAACAATGAAGCAGGAAAATTTGATTTTAATATGTAGTATAATGCTATAATAGTGGCCATGATGCTTTGTGTTGAAAATGACATGCAGAATGATAAACAGAATCAAGAGTTGAGACTGGGATTCTACATTATAATGTAATAGGATAAATTTTCAGTTTTCCCAAAATGCTGTTTTTAATCTACTAGAAACTTTAAAAATACAATAAAAGGTTTTAAACATCTAAAAATGATTCAAACAAGAAATCTATATAAGTGATTATATTATTATTATTTTTTTTTTGGGGGGGTCTGGTCATGGGGCCTGAACTCTGGGTCTGGGCGCTGTCCCTCTGCTCTTCAGCTCAAGGCTAGTGCTCTACCACTTGAGCAACAGCGCCACTTCTGGCTCTTTTCTTTTTGCTTATGTGGTGCTGAGAATCGAACCCAGGGCCTTATGCAAGCAAGACAAGCGCTCTACCACTGAGCCACCTTCCCAGCCCCATTTTTGTTGTTTTTATATTAGGATAATAAGGCACTTAAAAGATAATGATAAAGTCACTAATTTTATAAGTATATTGTGTAATTGGGACATTTTATTGAATATGAGTAATGTCTCTATCATTTAAAACATGTAAACAAAGATCTAAAAGAGTGGAAGCCAGTGGCTTAAACATGTCATTCTAGGTTCTCAGCACATTTAGATCTGTGGATAGTTGTTCAAAACCTGTCCAGGCAAGAAAGTCCATGAGACTCTTATCTCCAATTGACCACCAAGAAGCTGAAAGTGCAGCTGTGGCTCAAGTGGTAGAGTGCTAACTTTGAGCAAAAAAGAGCTCTTAAACAATGCCCAGATGCTGAGTTCAAGTCCCAGGACTGGCATAAAAAGAATTGTAAGAGGTAAATCAGGATCTGTATACTACAGTATCCACAGTATATATGCTTTTCATATGAAAGTCTTGCAAATCAGGAAAGTTTCAATAGTACTATATAAAATAATAGGTAAATATGTTTAAAATATATAAATGATGCTTAAACAATTGAAAAGTAGCTTTGTTTTACTAAAAAGGAGTTTGACATCATGCAACAGGTTTCAGTAACTTACTTTGGATTGTAGAATGACACTACATTTATCTTTACCTCTTTTATCTGAAAAGTATCCAATGATTATTTTATTTTAAAATTAAAAAAATGGAAAAGAATACTGTACTT